ATGGTCTCACTGGTGTCAGCTGTGTTCCTTTCTGGAGGCTGAAGGGGAGAATTTATCTTTTACAGCTTCTCAAGGCCACCGCATTTCTTGGCTCATGGCCCAATTTCTGCTTTCAAAGCTAGGAAATTGCATCTCTCTGATCACTCTTGTGTAGTCATAGCTCCCTCTGAATAAAGCTGAGAAAGGTTCTCTTATTTGAAAGCTGCATATAATTAATTGAGCACATATGAATAATCTAAAACAATCTTCCTTTTGCCATGTTAAGGTACCATATTCAGATTCTGGGGATTAGGACATGGACATCTTTGGGAGTGTGTGTGTGTCTGTGTGGGGAGGGCATTACTGTGCCTACCACACTAGTTTTAGTAAGTGCAAAACTCTGATAGTGACTTTAGGGTTTTTGTTAGGTAACCGAATGTCTTACATAGCAACAAGTAGACAGTTAGTTGCTAGCACTGATTCAGCTGCTCAACACCACCAGGTACCCAAGCCTTTTCTCTTTCCATTTTGTCATCTTTAATGCCTTGGATTTTGCTTATAGGATTATTGTGTCATGATGGCTGCTGCTTCTCCACATATCACATTTGTATCCAAGGCAGCTAGAAGAGGGAAGGATGGTGTACCAGATACCATCAGTGCTCCTAGTTCTTTTTTTTTTTTTTTTTTTAAATATATTTTATTGACTTTTTACAGAGAGGAAGGGAGAGGGATAGAGTTAGAAACGTCGAAGAGAGAAACACTGATCAGCTGCCTCCTGCACACCTCCTACTGGGGATGTGCCCGCAACCAAGGTACGTGCCCTTGACTGGAATCAAACCTGGGACCCTTCAGTCCATAGGCCGACGCTCTATCCACTGAGCCAAACCAGTTAGGGCTGTGCTCCTAGTTCTTATCACTTCAGTGCACAGTGGCCAGGCTTCCAGCTGTGGCTTAGTCCTGCTCCATGCTCTCTGTTGACCAATATACCAAGATAGCACTGAAGAGTGGGCCTAAGCTGTTAGTTGGACTTCCTTAGCACTGCAGAAGAGGCTCCAGCCACTGCCAGTCAGCCCCACTTGTGGCTGAGCAGAGCTCCCCCTGTGGGAGCGCACTGACCACTAGGGGGCAGTTCCTGCATTGAGCGTCTGCCCCCTGGTGGTCAGTGAATGTCACAGTGACCAGTCATTCCACCATTAGGGTCAATTTGCATATTACCCTTTTATTATATAGGAGGATGACTTCAACCTCCAAATCCAGAGACAAAAATCTTATATCAGTAACAGCAACCAGAATGCTCAGGAGGACAGATAATTTCCACAGCAATAATAATTTTCCAAAGTTTATGTTGGGCTGGTTTCCGGGGAAGTATTTAAGAATATAGTATTTGAAATACTAGAGGCCAGATGCACGAAAATTCATGCAAGTGTAGGCCTTCCTTCCCCCAGCTGCCGACACCAGCTTCTCTCCAGCACCCGGGACCTGGGCTGGCTTTCCTCTGGCCTTAGCTTCATCAGGAAGGATGTCCGGAAGGATAGCTGGTCTAATTAGCATATTGCCCTTTTATTATGATAGATACTACAAGCTCGAGAATTAGAAATTTCATAGATTGTATGATTTTTTTTTAAATATATTTTATTGATTTTTACAGAGAGGAAGGGAGAGAGAGAGAGTCTGAAACATCGATGAGAGAGAAACATCGATTAGCTGCCTCCTGCACATCTCCTACTGGGGATGTGCCCGCAACCCAGGTAGATGCCCCTGACCGGAATCGAACCTGGGAGCTTTCAGTCCGCAGGCCTACGCTCTATCCACTGAGCCAAACCGGTTTTGGCTAGATTGTATAATTTTACTCAAAGCATAATTGTACCACTAGATGGTGACATGTATACAAATTATTGAAAAGTCATCAGCAGTGTACTAGCTATCAAAGGTGTATGGTGGTCGCTGATTAGTTTTTTGAAAATCAACTTACAAGAATTTAGGAGATATTTTGTCAGATTCTGTTCCATAATTCTTTTAGAATTCACACCTCTCAAGTATATTAAAAAGTCTCTGTTGACACATATACCAAGATAGCACTGAAGAGTAAAGACTATAGAGTCAGGAGGCAGGCAGGCAACCTTCTTATTAGCTTCTATGCCCTTATCTATTTACAAGCAGCTGAAGTAAAGGGTTGGTAAACTACAACCCATAGGCCAAATATGGCTGGTTACCGGTTTTTGTGTGGCCTGTGGGCTAAGAATAATTTTTAAATGGTTGAAAAAAATTTCAAAGTCCATTAATAAAGTTTTATTGGAGTACAGACATATTTATTCAGTATATATTCTCTATGGCTCCTTTTCTGCTTAGAGTGGAGTAGTTGGGATAAGAAATAGAGACTAAAATATTTATCTGGCCCTTCACAGAAGTTTGTTGAATACTGAAGTGATGATTAAATGATCATACCTGGGAGTAATTCTCTAATCAATCCTCACCTGAGGACATGCTTAGTGAGAGAAAAACATCCATCGGTTGCCTTCTGTGTGCACCCTGACCGCAACCAGGGTATGTGCCCTGATCGGGCATCAACGGGCAAACTTTAAGTGCACTGGATGAACCTCCAACCAACTGAGCACTCTGGCTGGAACAAGATTCTCAAATCAATTCACGTAATTATTTAAAGAAGAAAGAATAGAAGCAACTGATTAAAAAAATATTTAAAGGTCAGAGTATGTAGTAATTTTCCTATTTTCAAGAACTGTTATGTGTCCTCTGTGGTCTTAAAAGCGTAGTTGACAGATAACTTACAAGTAATTATCAAAAGAAAAGTTGTATCAGTTAGGAATGTGGCTACAAATAATGGAAATCTAAGCGTGGATTAAGGAAAAAGGGGGTAGAAGCTGCTCAAGGATGTATCAGTGATCCACCCACACTTTACAATTCTGTACTATCAACTTTATGGTGGAATTTTGTCTTGTTTGTGGTTTCATTGTGGAAAAAAAAAATCAAAATGGATGCTGTATTACTTTGTGTATCAGGAGCATGTTTCAGGCAGAAAGAACTAAGGGTTAAGGGGCATGTCTGCTGAGTTTGACCCTTTTATTAGGAATGGGCAATTCTTTCCAAAAGACCAACTCTGCAGATTTTATTTTTGACAAATTTGTAGAAATTATTTTTGTTTCCACTTATTTGTATCACCTTCAATTTCTTCCCAGCCTTTTGATTGAATTTGTGTGTGTGTGTGGGGGTGATACTGGTTCACCAAATTGCACCCCATCATCCGTAGGTCGCGCTCACCGTCAACTCTGAGGCTTTCTGCTTCCGTGTCGCTGGCGAGAACGCAAACATGCGGCCTGGCTTTCAATTGACAGGAGACATTACTGGGGGCTGTCCTGACACGGGGGTCTCTCCGATGGCCCCTGAAAACACCCACCAACAAACCCACTTGGCTGTGGCGGGTCTCCCGGCGGCAGGGAGGAGGGCAGGGGGGCTGGAGGCCGGAGGGAGGATGTCTGCCCGCGGGGCCTGAAGTCTAGGAGCCCAGATTTCGGGGGAAAGACGGGAAGGGAAGGTGCTGTCTGGAGGGCTCTCCAGCCCCGAGGGGCCCCTGCTCCCGGGGAGCCGCTCACCACAGGACGGGCACCGCCCCCGCAGCCACCCCGGGCGGCGGCCCTTACGGCGAGGTGGTGGCGCGCCCACTTCCACGAAACCCGCGGCGGAGCGACCCCTCCCCAGCCGGTCGGGGCTCGGTTCGCACCACACGAGGCCCCCGCCCTGGGGGACTTTTCAGCCACGTCCCTCCATCACCAGGCGGGACACATACCGGCGACGAAGGTGTGGGAAGGGCAGGCGCGAGGGCCATCCCCAGGCAGCGGGCTCCCCGGCCCGGAACTCGCGCGGCGCCCCTGCCTGCCCCGGCCCCGTCCGCCCCGGCCCCGTCTCCACTCCCTTGACAGCTGCTCTCCCCCGGGGAGCAGCGCCGGCGCCTCAGGTGAGGACTCAGGTGGGCGACGCCTCAGGGGCCCTCTCGCGTGAAAAGGAGGAGCTGCTCATGTGGGCGCCGCTCCCCGCCATTTCTCGTCTCCTCAGGCGTCTCAGGCTCGAGGGAGGATGAGCCCGCGGGACTGAAGGTAGTGAGGGACGCGGCCGCAGGCCAGGCCGACGGGGCCGTTCCGTCCGCACAAAGCCCGCGGGGGGAGGGCCGTGTGCCCCCCTGGGCGGCGGCGTCGGCCCGGATCCCCATGGCCGCCCCCCCGCCCCCCCCGCAGCGCGGGGAAGGAAGATGTGGCAGAAAGCGGCGCCCGCTTCCCTTCGCGAGCCCGGAGGGAAAATGGCGACGCTCAAGGGCGGGGGTCAGAGCGGCGCTCGCTGGGCCTCGGCGCCCGCGGAGGGGGCCGTCGTGGGCGACGCCGCGCAATCGCGACCGGCTAGGCGCCGCCGCCGCCATCTTCGACTCACCCGGGCCCCCCTCCCCCCGCGGCCTCGCTGGCTGCCGTCTCCCTTCCGGCCGCCGACGGAGATCCGGGCGGGGCGGGGCGGGGGGCGGACGCGCCGAGGGGGTGGGCCGAGGGCGGGGAGGCCGGACGGAAGAGGAAAGGGAGGGCAGCGAGCGGGCCACGGCGGGGAGCGGAGCGTGCGGCGTGTGTGCGGAGGCCGAGTGGGAGGGCGGGAGGCGAGGCGAGGGCGGGAGGCGGAGGAATGAGCGCGCGCGGCGCTTCTCGCGGGCCCCGTCGCCCGCACGGAAAGAGCCGAGCGCAGCCCGAACGCTCTATTAAAATGGCGGCGTCGGCGTCGGCGGTGGCCGCGGCGTCTGGTCGGTGAAGTGACTCTGCTGCTGCTTTCCCCACCCGCCCCCTCCCTCCCTCTCCCCTCCCCCCGTCCTTCCCCCCCTTCCCCGCCGCCGGCGCCTCGGCGCCCCTCCGGCCTGCGCACCTCCCCTCGCCCCCCTCCTCTCCCCCGCCCGCCCCGGCGACCGCCGGCCCCCTCCCCCATCCTGCTCCCGCCCCGTCCCCGCCGCCGCCCGCCCTCGTTGCCTCCCCGCCCCGCCGGCCGGCCGGCCCCCGCCTCCGCCTCTCTCCCCTCCCCCCCGCCGGTCGGGATCAGTCAGCGCGATCCGAAGCGGGGGAGGGGGGGGCGGCGGCCGAACGATGTGCGAGAACTGCGCAGACCTGGTGGAGGTGTTAAATGAAAGTAAGTAGCGCGGCGGCGCCGGTCGGGGTGCAGGGCTGGGGGCCCCCGCGCTGCCCGGCCGGCCGCTGCGGCCCGCGGGAGGGACGGCCGAGCCGGCGGCGTGCGGGCCTAGCGCCGCGGGAAGGTGCGCTGTGGCGCGGCCGCCGCGCCGCCTCGGGCCCAGCTCGGCCGGCTCACCTGGGCGCCGGGAGGGGGCCGCGGCCGAGCTGCAGCCAGGCCCGGCCCGCGGCCTGGGCGCCGGGAAAGTTTCCTCATTACAGGTGTCAATTAGCGAGGCACTAACGAGCGCCTCCGCTCCCGATGGGAGGGGAGGGAGGGGCGGCCGAGGGCGGGCTTCCCTCCGCGGGCCGGACCTGCGACCCTCCGGCCGCCCCCTGGTTGTCGGGGTGCTGCCGAGGCCTCGCGTCCCTGTGGTTTCCTTTCGACTCTCTGGGAGGAGGATGGTGGCTTTCCCCTCCCTTGGGGGGCGGGGGGTGGTGGTGGGTGGGTGGGTGGGTGTGTGAAAACCTTCTGCCAGACCTTAGGTACCTGGAAATGAACTGTGGCCGTGGTGATTGGAAACTTCAGACATTTGTGAAAAATTAATGCCGTTTCTTCGCGTGCCATTCGTTGTTTTCATGGGCAATTCTGTGATACTAAGGAGAGTATTGTACCTCAGACACCATCCCGACACAGTCATGGCCTCGCTCCTGGGATAAAAGGCCTTATTCCTGATACTTTTGATTATTAAAGAGTGTTAATGCACGTACATGGATCCAGCCAGATTTAAAATTTTTATTCCCGACCCTTGCAAGATGGTCTTTTAGCTTAAAGAAACAAGCTGTATTGCAAGCTAACTCCTCCTGGGCCCAAAGGCCTAGTTGGACCAGGTGAATTAGATAAAAGGTTACCATACAGAAACATGATGGTTAAGGAAATGCTCGATTACCAGCAGCTTCTGTAGGTTTTGGGTTTGTGTTGTGTGTGTGATAGTTTGAAAGACTTTCAAACTACCTGTTTTCTAATATGGTTCTTTAAGACAATTGATTTATAAAGTGTATCATCTTGTTTGTGTTTGAATTTCACTTTAGTGACCAAAGGCAATAATAAACGTGGAAGGGTATTCAGTTTACTTTCAACTGAGTGTTTACTCCTGAAAGGTGGAAGCAGGGTTTTGCTCATATTCAAACTATACTTTCCAATAACTGTGCCATTCTGAAATTTTCTAGATTTTAAAAATTATTTGTATTTTTAGATACTTTTATTTTTGGTGCAGGTGGTTTGATACACTGATAAACCTAAGTCCTTATTTCAGCAAACTGTATTCTGTATCTCAGATATAAGTTGTGTGATTATGGCTTGGTTCTGAAATTGGAAAATGAATAGCTTTGCTGTGTAATATATTAGGAAAAATTGCTTTTAATAATTAAGTTGGCGTTTTAAAAATTTTAAACTTAACGAGTACAATTAATTTTAAACATAGTTTCTAAATAAACTGAAGTTAGCTAATCTTGATTATTTTTTGAAGAGACTTGGTGAAAGGTCCTGTTGAGGATTATTTGTGAACCCCCTAGAACTCTGTTTAGGAGCACTCAAACATGTAATGGATTTATGGAGAGTTGGAAATAGTATGGAGAATTGAAGTAGAATTTACTTTTTATTACCTTTAAGTAAATATAGTTAGTTGAACAAGGCTCACAAAATTTGTCCAGGCAGACCCTCTAAGAAAACCTGTTATTTTTTAAAAACCTGTTTTAATGAACAAAAAATAGAAGGATTTCCTATTTGTGTCTGGGCCAATGATTTCTGAAAATACTGAGACCGTTTCTTAATATTTCCTTTCAGGCTCAGTTTAAAAATTTGCCTCCTAAACACATTTTCACAGTGATAATTTCCTTTTAAAAAAAGTTACTTAAGCAATTTTTTTGTAGGTTATACCGAGCTGTTATAAGTTGCTTCCTCCCCCCTCCTCACACATCCCCCGCCCCCCCCATTATCATTTTTTCTTTGTGTAGTTCCTGTATTTCATACTAACATTTATCTATGACTGGGTAGAATTGTAATAGTTGGAACTTGATAAAACTTGTTGAATTGAAGTGTAGGGAATATGTCTTTGTGGTAATCTGGCTCACAATAATTATTAAGACTACTTTTCCCCTTCCATAGGTTGTGCAAAAATGAGCATCAATTCATTCTTGATTAGAAATTCAGAGTTAAAGTATCAAAATAATGTGCTCAGAATTCATTTCTCAATATAACTCCCCATAACAGTTTAACCAAGAGAAGAAGTAAAACTATATTTTTGGGTGTTATGTTTCAAGTTGATGTTGAAAAATTATTTAAAAAAGTACCAAAAACTTAATTTCAAGTTTACAATCTCTGACCAAACTTAAAGAAGTCTGCCTGGACACACCAGTAAATGTGCAATCTAAAAATTTTGTGTTTTAAATAAAAGGGTAAACATATGTGGATAGTATATAGTTTTATATCTGATATACACAGTTTTGATAAGGTAAGGACTTTAGATGAATTGTTTACTTTAAAATCTTGTAGAAAGTAATGTAGTTAAAATAAAAATTGGTAGTAAAAGAATGTGAGTAGTTTTTGATGAGAGTATTAATACCACTTATACCTCTATTCTTGCTGAGAGTCTGAAGCTGTAAACTCTAACTGTGGAACATATATCCGTATACAGACACAATTTTGCCAGCAGGTTAAGGCGCATTGAAGCCTGTCTGTAGAACCAGGTTAAGGATCCCATAATAAGGACTCTTTTTAATGTGGTCATGACAGATATCCTAAAACTTGAAATTACATTTCCAAATAGCATTTGGCTGTAGTGTTAGAAAAGATCTCAACAATGCTAACATTTGAATTTCCATTTTACTTTCATGCTTTGTTTTTTAATAAAGAAGACATTTAAAAATATATATTTTTATTGATTTCAGAGAGGAAGGGAGCGGGGGAGAGAGAGAGAGAGAGAAACATCAATGATGAGAGAGAATCACTGATCAGCTGCCTTCTGCTTGTTTGAACCCACAACCAGGGCAGCATGTGCCCTTGACTGGAACCTGGGACCCTTCAGTTCACATGCTGATGCTCTATCCACTGAACCAGACTGGCTAGGGCAAGAAGACATTTTTAAAAGCTTGGAATATATTGGGTGAATTTTACTGTATCAGTTTATGGGGTTGCATTTAGTTTAGGAGATGATTTAAAGTTTATATTCCTATGCTGCTTTTGTCGAATTTGTATGTTTGCTGCTTTTTATAGCTATTTTTATGAACAGTTCAGTAAGTCAGAGGTATTTTTGGATGTTGATGAGAATTTGGAGGCCTGAAGTTATGCTTTGCCCCATCACCATAGCTAGGTCATTAGTAAATTGAGGTCATTATTTGCTTTGGAAAGGTACATTTCTCTGAGAGCAGAGTGAAAATTACTTTAAATGTACATCAGTCTTTTAAACTATTTGTATGTTGTGGATTTTATTCTATGTTCTATGTTGGGTGAATTACAGTTGTTTAAAATAGACAAATCATTTGTCCTTCCTAACTATCCTTTGAGATAGGCAGGAACATGTATTGATATAATTTGAAAGGTGAAGAATTAAATCTCAGAAAGGCTAAGTGGTTTGCTAAAGATCATCTGTCATCTGCTTAGTTAGTAGTCATATCTAAGCTAGAACTCGAGATACTCTGATACCAGTATTTGCAGAATAATTCTGTTTGCAGAATACTTTATTGAACAGTTTGTGTTGGGTACTTTATCAATTCTTTGAGGTGGGTACTCTATCACCCTTTTCAGATAAGAGAACTAAGGCTTATGCAACTTGCACAGAGGCACGGGACGATTCAGTGGAGCCAGGATTTGAACAAGATTTAATCCCGAAAAGCCCACGCTCTTAACAGTTATGCTATATACTGTATAAACTTGGATAATCTATTCAAGTGGAGGACATCATTATGAATACAGTGTTTGGCAAAATAAATAGTTACTATATTTTTATGTATTTTAACAAATTCAGGTGTAAATCCATGGTAATTGTAATAGAAATTTATGGTGATAAATGTAGCTGAATGGGAATCTCTATCTTAATATTGTTTGTCAGCAATAATCTCTTTTAAAAAACTACACATTTCACCCTAGCTGGTGTGGCTTGGTTGGAACTTCCTCCCTCCCACCAAGGGGTTGCAGGTTTCATCCCCAGTTGGGGCCCATAACCAGATTGCAGTTTGAGCCTTGAGGCAGACAATCCATGTTTCTCTCTCAAATCGATGTTTCTCTTTCTCTCTCCCTCTTCCTCTCTCTAAAATCAATAAAAAACAAACACATGTCCTCAGGTGGGGATAAAAACAAATACTACATATTTCTCTCCGTTGTTATTTTTTAAAAATATTTTTTATTGATTTCAGAGAGGAAGGGAGAGGGAGAGATGGAAACATCAGTGAGGAGAGAATCATTGATCAGCTGCCTCCTGCACACCCCCTACTGGGATTGAGCCTGCAACCTGGGAATGTGCCCTTGTCCGGAATCAAACCTGGGACCCTTTAGTCCACAGGCCGACGCTCTAGCTACTGAGCCAAACCAGCTAGGACTCTCCGGTTTTTTAGATAAGTACACAGGCACTAAATAATCTGTCATTAGTAACAACATTTTTTGGTAGATTTTTATTCTATTATTTGAACTGATTCTTAAAATTGCAAATTTTATTTCATGACAAAATGAAGTCCCAAATTATGGATTTATATTTGGTAAATTAATCTTGGTATATATATATCCCCTTAAGCCAGTTAACATTTGAAATAGTTTTTCAAAGATAATAGTATTCACGTTTTAATTCAAATATTTGTATAAAGTAATTTGTAAACCATAGAACTATAAACGTGTAGTAGGTATGAAAGCTTTCTGCATAGTCAGTGATAACTATTGATGACTGGCTTTAGCATTGTATTCATGAAATATGTGAATGTTATGTTTAATAATGAGAGTATATATCTAGTATTTCCTATGTGTATTGGGAA